GTGAGGCCACCTCCCAGGCCACTGCTCAGGCCTCAGCTGAAGCTGATCACACAGGGGTGCGAAGCCCTCCCAGGACAGCAGCTCAGGTCACAGCTGGGAGCTGATAGCACTGGGGTGCGCGCCCGCCTCCCAGGCCACTTCCCTGGTGGTGGCTGGGAGCTGATTGCGCAGGGGGTGTGAAGGGCCTCCCAGGCCAACAGCCGGGGCCTCATACTGCCTGCTCTCAGCGGCAGCCCTCCCTGGGCTTGAGAAACTGGGCACCGCCATCTTGCGTTTATGGGTGCCGCCATTTTGTCACGGAGTGATGGTTAATTTTCATATTACTCTTTTATTATATAGAACAATGATATATCTATAATATAATTTATAACAAAATATAATGTATTATAAATATTACATACATGTATAAGATACATAAAATGTAATGCATATGTATACACACATACATATAATATATATATAATGTTTTCTGAATAATTTGGGGAAATAATTTGGAGCCTTTACAACCTTTACTCTTAAGTACTTCAGTGAGCATTTCCAAATAACAAGGACATTCTCTCCCAGACCCACAGTGTAATGATCAGAATTGGAAATGTCACACTGATAAGCCCGATCATTTAATCCTTCATCCAGATTCTGAGACTTTCCTTCGTTCCAATGGTGTCCTTTCCAGCTGCCCCCATGGAAGTCAGTGACGTTCACACCCCTTTCCTGCTTTCCTTCTCCTGACCCAGACTGGCTTGTCACCGAGTCTGGGCCAGGTGGGATCAAACGAGAATAATTTTTTCCCCTCCAATTATTGCCTCCCCTGCTCTCTTGTCAAATCTCCCTTCTCTCCCCTGAGGAGCACATTGTGTAATGTGACTGATCACTGTCAGTGAAAAAGTCCTGTCCTGTCCTGTCCTGTCCTGTCCTGTTAGCAATTTCCATCTCAGAGCTTTCTTCAACCCCTTGCTGATTCGTGATGTTACCGGGAAAACTTGGGGCAACTCCCCACTCTGCCTAATCCCTTCTGCCTCACTTTGCACACGTGCCCGTGTGCTCTGGCTCGGAGAGGGGCTCTGAGTGCACCAGCAGGTGTGAGCTCTGACCACCCACACAGCTGCTCCCCCTGGATCCAGAAAGGCAGGCATGGAGAGCAGATTCCTGAGGCCGATATGGGCTGGGGAAGGAAACTCAGCTATCTCCTTGTGATGCTGCCTGCCTGTTGTCATGGAAACCCAAGCCACTCTCTTTTGAAGGACCCATTAAGGTGCAGGATATAATCAGCACCCTGTCTGGCAGACCCCCACCCTCCCTGGACAATGCAGCATCTGAGTTGGGCCCTCACCACCCCTCTCCAGCCCTGGCTGGGGATGACTCGGTATGTGACCACATGTCTCCTTTTCCTGTCCACATCTTGGCCTCCTCCCCCGTAGAAATGGCTGAGGGACATGTCGCAGTTGCCACATTGTCTGTGTGTATCAAATTATGAGAAGGGTGTAAGATAGTGGCTGAAAATGCAGACACTGTATGCAAACTGCCAACAGTCAAGTCCTGGCTCTGCCACCCAGGGGCTGTGCAACCTTGAGCGACTTGCTTCAGCTCTCTGAGCCTCGGTTTCCTCTCCTATAAAATGGGGAATGATAATGGGGAATTACCTCTTAGGAGCTAATATATGTATAGCTGTTAAAATAGATCTAATATATCCATCTGATGTACTATTATCCAGCTACACAAAAGGAATGAACCATGGGCACACGCTACAGCATGGATGAACCTTGAAAACATGCTGCTCCGTGAAGGAAACCAGACACAAAAGGCCACACAGTGTGATTACCCAGGACATGCAAACCCACAGAGACAGAAAACACATTCATGTTGCCAGGAGCTGCAGGAAGGAGTGTAGGGGTGGGGAATGAGTGCTTAACAGGAACTGTGTTCTTTTTGGGACGATGGAATGTTCTGGAATTAATCAGGTGGTGGTGATGGTCGCAGGACTCTGTGAAGTATGAAATGTCACAAAGTTGTCACTTTAAAAAGGTTACATGCAAATTTTATGCTCTGTGTACTTGCAAGGTTTAACTATTGTTCTGATGGAGGGACACACCACAATGACACTCACATAGAAGGAAGGCAGAACCCTTTGCCACTTGGAGCTCCAAATAAGAGGACATAAGGCTTACACCAGGGACAGGTGACAGTCAACGGGGGCTGTAGGGGCAGCTCATACAGGGCGAGCCAGTGGGGTTAGCTAGGTTTTCCCGGGCTTCCTGAAATGGGCTCATCTGAATAATTGGCCAAACTCCAGGACCATAGGGCTGTCCCTAGTTGCCTGGTGATGCCTAGCTCTCGGACAACTGAAGGAGGTGTCTAGTGGCCCTTGAGTATGAGTGGATAAGGGAACTGGTCCGGATGTGGACTTAGTCAATTGCTCAAGAGGACCTGATTGGCCTCAGAAATGGGTCCTTCCCTCTCTCCTTTCCTTCCTTCGTTCTGTGGAAGTAGCTACTCATTCTTCACCTGTGAAAGTCCAGACATAGAATTGCTGAGTCAAAGGGAAGAAAATAAGCTTCTTTTGTGCTTAAGCCACCGTTATTTTGAGCCTGTTAGAGTAATTGGACCGTCTCCCCATACATTGACAATCCCTGCTTCTTCGCCTCGCTCTCTGGCACCTTTGCTCCTGGAATCACCATCTTGTCTGAGACTCCACTTTCATGAAATCCCAAGTGAAGATAATTGGACAGTGACCAGATGGAATAACAAAATTGAATGGGCGGTCCCTTCAGTTCAGGTGCCCTCAGCTCCATTGCAAAGGATGGCTCATCTTCACAGGTGCATGTGGCCTTCGTATTTGTGTTGACAAAGGGGCTGAGACACCAGCATTTATGTCAACTGAATACTTATCAGGTGCTAACACTGGTCTGGGCATGGACGGGAGGAGGATGAAACTGGTGAGATTAAAGAAGGTGCCCCCTCCCAGAGGTCTCTGGGAGAAATGACAGGTTGGTGGATTTTATGTACCTTTATTTTTATTTTTGCTAGAGGCCTGGTACATGGAGTCATGCACAGGTGGGGTCCCTCAGGGTGACCTGCAGGGATTGGGCCCCAGCTCATGCCCCCAGGCTCGCAGCCCCGCAGTTCCTGCCTGGCACCCGGCTGTGGCCTGGCACCGTCCCCTCACCTGCTCCATTATCCTGCTGCTGCTGTCCAGGTCTCCTTGGGGCCCATCAGGGTCAGCAGCACCTCCACTACCACCCGCTGTCAGCACAGCATCACAGACACCCGCCATGTTCCACACTGCCCCCTTGTGGTCAGCGCACATCGTAGTGAGTGGTCGAACTCCGGGTCAAACAATTTGTATATTAGGCTTTTATCAAATAAGAAGATTGATTTCAGAGAGGAAGAGAGAGGAACAGAGAGATAGAAACACCAATGGTAAGAGAGAATCATTGATCGGCTGCCTCCTGCACACCCCACACTGGGGACTGAGCTTGTAACCCCAGCATATGCCCTGACCAGGATTCGAACCATGACCTTCTGATTCATAGGTTGATGCTTAGCCACTGAGCCACACCAGCTGGGGCATTTGGTTTTTTTAAATCTAAGGAAGGATTCCCCTAAATAAGAATCAGTGGGGCGATGGCCAGTGTGGGTCAGTGGTTAGAGTGTCGGCCCACACATCAGAGGATTGTGGGTTTGATTCCTGGTCAAGGGCACAAGTGTGGGTTGGGGATTCACTCCCCACCTCCACTGGGGGCCCATATGGGGGGCAATCAGTTGATATGTCTCTCACATCTCTCTCTCTCTCTTCCCCTCCTTCCCTCCCTTCCACTCTCTCTGAAGAGCAATGGAAAAAATATCCTCAGGTGAGGATTAACAACAACAAAACAGAATCAGTGGGGAAGCTCATCAAAATGCAGATGCTGCCCCCCCTCGGCTTATTGAGATCGGTGGGGTCCTTATTGAGATCGGTAGGGTCCTAGGAGTCTGCATTATCTAGGAGCTTCCTAGAGGAACCCCAAGGTGCTCCAGGGGTTAAGGGCGGCTGTGGGGGAATGGCAGGCAATGCTCTCAGCAGGGTGAGCCAGGCTGTGTTTGGAAATTTGAATTCCACCATTTCACCCTTCAGTCAATGGGAGTCTTGGAAGGGCTAAAGGCAGAGGTGGGACTTGGTCAGATGTGGAGAACAAATGGACGGTGGTGTGTGGTGGGGGGCGGGAAGAGACAGCCACGCAGGGATTGCGGCAGAGGGCTGGGGAGAGGCTGGGTTTGCCCAGAACAACTTGCCCTGGCAAATACCGGGTTGGGGAAGTGGATGAGGAGGGGAGGGACCCTGGGGTGTGGAGAGGCTGCCGCATTGATGGGGACCCAGAAGGAGGGGAGATGGGGGCTGGGTGGGCTGGATGTTCAGTGTGAAAAGATTAAGGTAGAGGCTGTGAGAGACCCATGGGGAGACATTTGTAGAAATCTCGGGGCAGAAACTCCTCTTTCCTAGGGGGCCCCTAAAAGGCAGCATCCGGTGCCTTTTTTTTTTTTTTTTTAAGTCCAAAAGCTCTTCCATTCCCAAAGGGAGATCTATATGTAACACAAAAACTCTCACAATTAGCCTTGATCCAGATATTGAACCCCTCTCCTCATCTCATTCTCAAAGTGCCTCTGGCGTGTAGGTGTCTTGTAATCATATTTCCTCTGCTCGTTAATGAACTCACTGAGGCAGTCCTCCTGGAGAGAGAAAGGTTTCATTTGTCTGGGGCTGAGGAGGGAGACGGGGTTGCCAGAGCTAATGAGGAATCAATGCCTCGTAATTGCTAATTAAATGAGCTTGGCTCTCCCCTGGGGCTATTAGTTGGCTGGCTGGCCCTTGAATGTCCACAAATTTAATTATACTCCCCAATAAACACCCACAGCACCCCCCCCCCATCTCTGTGGGGGAAACCAAGGAGAAGCAGGATCTTCACGTGTGTGCTGAAACCATCAGTTCATTTTTTAATACATTGATTAATTCTCTGATGCCTTTATTGATTCAACCAATGTTTACTGAGCACCTGCTGTGTGCCAGGCCCTGGTTAGGGGCCGGGGCCACAGCAGTGAAAAATACAAGTGTGGTCTCTGCCCTCATGGAGCTCACAGTGTCATGGGGGTGACAGACAGTCCTGTAAACAGTTAACAATAACCAGAGTAAGTGCCGGAGAGAAGACAACCCAGGTCTGTGGGAGTGGATAACACAGACTTGTTATACACTTATGGTGGATGGTGAGGCAACAAGGAAGGTTTTTCTTGGAGAAATGGGTCTGGGATAAGAAGGGAGAGGGAGCTCGTGGGGTGTCTGGGAGGCAGAGCATTCCAGATGAGGGAGCAGCAAAGACCAAGGCTCTGAGGCTGGGATGACTTCAGCGTAGTGTCTGTGACTTGATCAGGATGTCTCGGAGAACTGGGGGTGAGCCACGCCGATGCCACAAATCACCTCCACAAGTTTACACCTGTCCTGCAGTTGGTCCATGGAACTGATGGTGAGGTGTGGGAGAAAAGAAATCATTCCTGGAATTTTTATTGACAAGTCTTCGTAGAATCCTGATCTAGAGAGAACTTCAAACATTATCCCCTCATTGATTCCCAAGGCCCTGGGTTCAGTCAGATATTTTGTATTTTCAAGACTGCAGGGAGGGGGGGAGGGGGATATGAGTGTCATGGATAACACCATGCATGGCACATTGCTATGTGATCATGGGCCGCATGCCCCTATTTTACTCCCTCCCTTGCTCTTGCCCCATGGAATTAGCCTGCTCACCCCCCTGGGTGGAAGCGATTCCTTCCTGGCCTCCCACAGTTACTTGTCCATCTCAGGTGGAGGTTGATGGGAGCCCGCGCTATGAGGAAGCTGTGACTTGTTGTCATAGTACACCAGAACAACAAAATCACTAGTCTTCCACACAGCACCAGACCACAGCTGCTCCAGTCTTCTTTGCCACCCTTTGCCCTGTGTGTGCCACCCCCGACCCAGCTCTTCCCCTTCACCTGAGCCACGCTGTAATATATGGGCTTCTTGCTTCTCCACCGCCTCCTGTCTTCCACTCCTGGCCCTCCTGGGGAAAGGACGGTCTGGTCTGAAAGGGCCCAACTCCCACCCACGACACATGGAGTTTGGAGTTGAATGAATGTGGGGTTGACTTGGATTCACCCTTGGCCTGAGACCCCCTTGACCTGACCTTCTCTGGGTCTCAGTTTCCTCAACTGTCACCTGGATGTAATAAACCCCATGTCCTGAAGTTGGAGATGGCATGATATAATGTATGCAAAACGCCTGACACAATGTTTCTCAAAGAAGTCTGGGAAGGGCACAATATGTCATCTTGGCAGGCACTCCCTAATTCCCCCACAGTCCTGCAGATTGATCATGGTACCTGTTGGGAATCACAGACTTCTGTGTGCTGTTTCATCTCATCTGGAAAATAAGGCATTGGGGGGAAAAATCTATTAAGTGAGAGGGGCAAGTCTCCAGAAGCGTCAGACACCCCGGACCACCCTCTGCTCCCCCGTCAAGGTACAAGGCTCTCCCTTAACCTGGGGAGCTGCCAGCACCTGCTGGGAGCTGTCTAGAAGCGGTGCTGAAGCAGGTCGCGGTTCCCTTCCTGGACCCCGAGAGGCGCTGTCCGGAGCCTCCGTGCTGAAACAAATAGCAATTTTCTCCCGTGGTCCTCGCAGAGCTGTCTCCCGCCTCGGTGCTGGAGAAAACTTAACTTTCCTCTCTTCCAGGCTCAACCCACTCCTCTGCCTTCTCTGTTCCTCTGACATTGGGGAGCCCGCCTTCCAAACATTTCTTTCCTCTCCGATCCTCTCCCCCGGGCGCTTCAGAATGGCAAGGGTCGCAACTGGGTCTCACACCGGCTCCTTACCTCATGGCGCGTCCCCAGGACTTACCTCCCAGGTAGTCAGCCTGGTTGGTCTCCGCTTTCCAGGCCGTCAAACTTCGCCGTCTTTGTCGCTCTCTGGGAAGATGTCCATGCGCTGACCTGCAAACCCGCCCCATCCCCGAGGTACCGGGTCCCCCAAACCACCCCTCCTTCCACGCAGCTGAAGTCCTCCTCCCCCTGCGCGTCTCACCTGCTCCCAGTCCTGTAGCAGATGCAGGTGTCCAGTGACTGCCGGAGGCGGTGACTGCGCTTTTATGGGCTTTGGGGGAGGCGGGGCACCGGCAACCCAGGGAGGGGCTCTGCCAGCCGGCCAATGGGACTCCGCCTCGAATGCAGCTCCAAAGATTACCTCATAGGTTGTGGCCTCAGCTTCAGAATAAAAGACTGGCATCTGCCCAAAATCTAGGTTGGGGTTTTCTGGAGGGGGAGGGGCCGCTCATTGTAGCGCCTGGGATCTACCCACTCGGCGCAACCCCCTCCTGGGTCTCTGAGCTCCCCCCCAGTTTAGCAGCTCTGGCTCAGTCAGTACTTGTTTCCCCAGCCTGCGCTGTTGCTAGATCAGGAGAGATAAAGCTGGTAAATTGGGTTGGAGGGAGCAGAGGGGGGAGAGGGCAGGTTCAGAATATTTAAATCTAGTTTCAAGTTGAGAAACTGAGGTCTGTGTGAAGGTAGGGCTCAGAGGAGCCTGGAGCAGAGGTGGGACTCAAGCCTAGACCTTCTGATTCCTGGACTCAAAACCCAATTCATAACTTAGCTTATTGTTTTACTTTACTGAGTAGACTCTGAGCCAAAAAACACACAAACTTGGGTTCACGTCCAGATTTTTCTCCTCCTTGCTGTGGGACTTTGGGCACAGCCGAACCCCTCTGGGTGATGACTGTAGAATCTTCTCAGAGCATTGTGATGAGGCATTAATGCTATGGTGTGGGTTGCATCTTGGAAATAAATAATCAGGGCTGGGACTCAGGTGAGGGAGGCACTTGCCTCAGGTACATTTAAGGAGGCACCAAAAAAACCACACATCAGTAATTAAAATAAACCATATTTCAATGCAGTGTTGTTGTTGTTTTTTAAAAAAATCAAAATTAATGAAAAATACACAATAAGCAAAATATCATTTTAAGTAAACAACAGAATCTGCATTACCGATTTTTTCCTTTAGCCTCAGGCTCCAATGCAACTTGGCATGGCATTAGAAAAAAATGTCTGGACCTGGTAATTTTTCCAATAATGTAGCTGTTGTTATTTCCCAAGATGTTCCATCCATTTTTCTCAAAACACCTTTACTGTGTTAGGCACGGTGTTGGGGGAGGGGCACATTCATGAATTCAGCAACTAACCTTCCTTTAGGGAGGGTGAAGACACGAAAAAGTAACTCTTCGCAAACACAGCATGCATGGCAACAAAGGGATTTGTGTTCTGGCTTGTGCTCTTCCCAGGATGAAAGTCCCCTAAAAGAGCTGCTTATTTTGTGCAACATGAGCTCAAATGAGCTACCTGCCAATCACCCATGGATCCAGGAACATCAGATAAGGCTTGTCAACAAAGATACCCGAACCAAGGCTTAACTCCATAGGTGCACCGGGGGAAAGTTCGGTCAAACCCATGGGGAGTGGACGCAGAAGCTGTTTGGAATTCTGACACATAGTAGGTACTCAACAAATTCACTGTCAAGTGCAATACTCATCTGAAACACTCTAACTTCTGCATTATGTCTCCACTCAGAGACTCATCCTGGCTTCACAGTTCCAAAAGAGGAGCAAGGAACTTCTACCAAAGGAAGAAGAAATGGGAATGTAGTCTAGAAATGGCTGCTTTATTTATTTGCTTCATTGCTTTTCCTTTTTACCTTTTTATTTATTTTTTTTGGGAGGGGGGGGGAGATTCAAACCCACAGGCAAATAGCAAGATAGTGCAATGCACTTCTGAACATAATCATTTTTACCTAGATTCACCCACCCATTGTTAACATTTTGCCACCTTCACTTTATCTTTGTCTCTCTTCCAACCATAGAGGCAGACACAGTGGCCCCTTCATTCCTAAATACTTCAGCATGCTTCCCCATGATCAAGGACAGTTTCCTATGTAACCATAATGTGATCATCACAACCACAAAGTTAAAATTGTGACAATACTATTGTCTAATCTCTAGCCCACGTTCCACTTTGACCAGTTGCCTCAATACAGTCCTATATGACATTTATTTCCAAGTTGGGATCCAGTTCAGGATTGTGCAATGTGTTTCATTGTCCTGTGTCTCCCATTTCCTTTGCTGAGAGGTGATCTTTGTAGTAGCTGTATCTTGTTAGACCCCAGAGTTCTCTTCTCAACTCAGAGATCTGACTCACTCACTGCCTTCAATGAAAGTGTGCCTGTCACCCTCTCACCCACACACAGTGCCTGGCACCCTTCTGTTACAACACAGTTTTATTTAGAGGATTTTAAAAGTCACTTCCTCCTTTTATTTAGAGGATTCTAGAAAGACATGGCCAGAAATACACACCTCAAAGCTACTTTATCCATTCCCTTCACAATGAAAATATTTGCACTGGGGATTCAGCAGGGAACAAAGCCAACCTTATTTTTGTATTCCATTTAGTGTAGAAGATAGACAGTAAACAAACATATAAAGTAACAAAATAACTTCACACAATAATGACAGCAGAAGAAACAGACTGGGGAAGTGGGGTATGATAGAGCAGGAGTCTGCTAACTTTTCTGTAAAGGGCCAGAAAATAAATATTTTCTGCTTTGCAGGCCAGCTGGTTTCTCTCCTGGCTATTCTGTTGTTGTAGCTCAAAGGCAGCCTTGGAGAATATATATGGGTGGGACTGTGTTCCAATAAAACTTTATTTACAAAAACAGTGGCAGCTTTACCCTGGCTGATGTTGCTCAGTGATTAGAGCATCCGCCCTTGCACCAGAGGGTCGCAGGTTTGATTCCCAGTTATGGGCAAGGAGCAGGATTGCAGGTTGGGGTGTGTGCGGGAGACAACTAATCAATGTGTCTCTCTTACATTGATGTGTTTCTATCTCTTTCCCTCCCTCCCTCCCTTCCACTCTCTCTAAAAATAAATGGAAAAAAATATCCTGGGGTGAGGATTAGCAACAACAACAAAATAGTGGTAGCCCTCCCCAAGGGCCATATTTTCTAGTCCCTGCCTAATATGTGACTGGCTGGTGTAAGATATGTAGCTTTAGGCTGGGTGGTTGGGGCAGGGCTCTCTGGAGTGGGCTTGTTTGAGCTGAGACCTGAAAGGTGAGAAGAAGACAACCATGGAAAATTTAAAGGACAATAGCAGGCTGAACAGTGAGTTTGTTGGGTTACTGTTTGTAGGAACAGTTAGTTCCTAGAGATTGTGTGTGTGTGTGTGTGTGTGTGTGTGTGAGAGAGAGAGAGAGAGAGAGAGAGAGAGAGAGAGAGAGAGAGAGAGAGAGAGAGAGGCAGGCCCTGAAGTGTGTCTTGGAGGGGACTTGCAGGAGTTATACTCAGAAAGAGGTGGCCAGGCTTTGGCCATTCAGCCAGGAGCAGATCATATAGGAAAGCCTCCCCCCTTTCTTTCTCTCCCTTCTTGAGCTTTTACTTGTGTTGAGCTTGGTGCCAACACTTCACATGCCAAGTATTCCGAAGACTTCAAGACAACCCCATACAATTGCTATCGTTGTTCTCCCCATTTTACAGATGAGGAAACTGAGGATCTAAGGAACTAGTCAAAGGCCACCTGGAAAACAAGAAGCAGAGCTGGGATTTAAACACAGCTCTTGCTTGGCTGGCATGGCTCAGTGGTTGAGCGTTGGCCTATGAACCAGTGGGTCCCAGTTCCATTCCCGGTAGGGGCACATGCTTAAGTTGCGGCTCGATCCCCAGGTGTGGGTTGTGCAGGAGGCAGCTGTTTGGCGATTCTCTCTCATTATTGATGCTTCTCTCTCTCTCCCTCTCCCTTCCTCTCTAAAATAATAAATAAATAAATAAATAAATAAATAAATAAACACAGTCCCATCTCTTGGCTCCAAAGCCCATGCCCCTCAGCACTTCCCCACCCCAACATTGTCTTCATTTGCGGTCTCCTTCATACCTTCTGGAGAGCAGTTAAGCCTTTACACTGGGATTCGGAGATTTTTCAATTCTAAACTGCAGAGCAGATGTCAAATGCCCTGTTTTAAGGACGTGGCAGAAACAAACCTTCCCCATAGACCACAATAATTGGGGGCTGGAGCTGGGATGGGGACCCCCGTCTGCTGACCCCAAGATCTAAATTCTTGTTCACTGTCCATTCCTTCCCCTGTCCTCTTCTAGAGTCCTCATACATAAAGAACCTTATCCAATATTGTCCTCACACACAACCTTTTATTTATTTACTTACTTTTTAGAGAATTCAGTATTAAAGCCAGGTATATTGAGGTATAACTTCTATACAGTAACCTTCGTATTTTTAGGTGCACAGTTCTGTAAATTGTGCTAATTGCAGTTATGTATCCAACACCGTAGTCAAGAAACAGAACAGTTCCCTCACCCCAAAAAACGTTCTCTCCTGTTCCCCTGAATAGTCTATCCCCACCCTGATCGATAATCCCTGGAAACTGCTGACGGGATCTGCATCATTATAGTTTTGCCTTTTTCCAGAACACGGTTTAAATGGGATCACCTGGCGTGCAGCTTTCGGTGTCTGGCTTCTCT